TTTATGGATTGATTATGAATATAATTTTCAATTTATTTTGTATAATATTACTTATTTAGAATTCTGTTAAAAATGAATCATAACATATGTTTTGAAAAAAGAATGTATAATGACATACCATGTAGTTATCGTAGTAACAAAATTTCTATATACTTTAATTTCGCATAAAAAATAATTTTATTGATATTATTCATTGTCCTAATACTTTTTTTCTACGAAATGATTATAACAAAATTTTTAGTTGAGTTTTAAAAATTTGTTGTGTATTAATAAATTTTCGTGACTTTATAGATTGATTATGAATATAATTCTTTGAATTATTTTGTGTGATATTATTTCTGTAGAATTCTGTTAAAAAAAGTGAATCATAACATATGTTTTGGACAAAATACGCATAATGGCATATCATGTAATTCTTCTAGTAACAAAATTTGTATGTACTTTAATTTCGTATAATTTTTTTTGATATTATATAGTGTCATATGTACCTTTTGTTCTCATGAATTGATTATAAATAATATTTCTGGTTGGTTTTTAAAAAATTGTTGTGTTAATTTCATCATTTTATGGATTGATCATAAATATAAGTCTTTAGAATTCTATTAAACAGTTAATCGTAACATATATTTTGGACAAAAATACAAAATGGCATATCATATAATTATCCTAGTAAGAAAAATCCTATATACTTTAGTTTTGTATAAAAAAAATATTTTTATTGATATTGTACATTTTCCTATATACTTTTTTATGAATTGATTATAAACAAATTTTCTAGTTGGGTTTTAAGACTTTGTTGAATAATAATAAATTTTCATCATTTTATGGATGATTATGAACATAACTCCTCAAATTATTTTGTTTAATATTATATCTTAAGAGTTTTGTTAAAAATATGAACTTAAGCATAAGTTTGGTCATAACAATGTATAATGGCATAACATATAATTATTTTAATCACAAAAATTCTTTTTCAAAAAAGATCTGAGAATCTGTATAGTAGTGACATATCAGCAAAATGACACCACTGTAAATTTTTACAAAAATTAGGTTAATATCTAGAATGCTTCTTAAATATATAAGGATTATATATGTTTAAATGGTCACCTGATAGATTCACTCTAAGAAGGAAGGAAGACGTTGCTGAGAAAGAACAAAATAAAAGTTCATCCGACTCCAAATGATAAAAACATAGAGGAAAACAAAAAAAAAACAAAAGGAAGGTACAAGTGGATGAAGTCAAATAACGATACCAATGGAGAGGAGTCTGAAGGATATGGTTAAATGACATTAGGATTTTGATATTGAGGAAGCAAATTTTAAATTAAATAGAGAAATTAAAATTTATGAACATCGTTAGATGCAAGTAATATAATATATATATATATATATATATATATATATATAATGTTGCTTACACGTGTATTTATGAATCATATATTTGATGGAAGTAATCTTATTTTTTTGGGTTTATTGATACGTGAAGTCTTTCTCCAACACTAATTTATTTAAGTGTTAATGTCTAACAACTACAGTAAAATCTCTATAAATTAATAATGTTGGGATTTTAAGATTTATAAAAACAATTATTAATTTATAGTGATTATTAATTTATAGATATATTATTTGGTTGATAACCAAATTTTGGGACTGATAAAAAAATATTAATTTATAAAGGTATTAGTGAATGGAGTTTTAATATATAGAGATCCTTCTGTACATCTATTCTAATAAAGTAAGGTTTTTTCACAATCAGCTCTGATATGCTGCCATGTGGCATCTAAAAAATTGACACGTGTCACAATTTTTTTTTACAATTTCTATTAATTTTTCTTTCAGTATTCTATTAAAGTAAGCTTTTTCACAATCAGCTCTGTAATACTACCATGTGGCATCTAAAAAACTGACATGTGTCACTTTTTTTTTACAATTTTTATTAATTTTTCTTTCATTAAATAAATACAAGAAGAAAGATTCAGTTTTTTTTTTCTCTTCTACAAATGATTATTTTTCATCTAACAAACATATACGAAAATAAAATCACTCAAATAAATCTAATATAATATAATAAAATAATGTGTCATTTTCTTTCTTTTTTTTTAATTTTCAGAACTATTCTCTTTCATTATGGGTCTGATTGGTGTGTATTAGAAGAATTGAGAGGAATTGAGAAGAAAAGAAAAGTTATAATTGGAAGAAATTACTTTATTTGTTTTGAATGTGTGCTTTTAGATAGAATAAATTTTTCAACTTGGTTTGGGTGGAAGGAAATTTTCCACACATTCCTACTAATATCAGAAGATAATTTTGTCTTCTGTTTTTTTTTTCTTTGTGATTGGCTTACTTTTTGAAATTACTAGAAGAAACATATTTTTTACTTTTTTTTTTCTTCAGATAGACTACAACCAGTGAGACCTTATGTCTCTTACTTAGATTATTTAAACTTTTAAGAGCTGACTGTAGTATTGCTCCATCGCAAAAATATATTCATTTCTTTATGTTTTCTTTCTATAACATAATAAGATCATGTGTCATTGTTTCTATTTTTTTTTCTCAGCCTTATTCTCTTTCATTATGTCTCTTACTTGACATTATTCAAAGAGATTTTCTAAACTTTTAAGATATGACTATGACATTGTTTCATTGCAAAAAAATAAAATTATTTCTTTATGTTTTCTTTCTTGCCAAATAAACAGAAAATCATGTATTATTTGCTTTTGTGAAAAAAAAATAGATTTTTTTATAATATGCCTCAAATAAATATTGTGCTTCCAGTCTTAAGCTCATTTTGGCAAATATTTTATTTGAAATTTTAGTTATATTAAATTACTAGGAGAAGGGTTTTTTTCATTTACATACAATTATTTTTCATCTAACAAACAGAAACAAAAATCAGTACCAACTCTGATATGCTGCCACGTGATATCTAAAAAACTAACATGTATCACTTTTTCTCTTTTTTTTTATAATCTCTATTAAATTTTCTTTCATCAAATAAACATAGAAAAAAAGCTTCAGTTTTTTTTCTCTTCTACAAATGATTATTTTTCATCTAACAAACAGAAACGAAAAATCAGTACGGTTTTTTTTATAAAAAAATGTTGTCATGTGGTATCTTAGAAATTGACATGTGTCATTTTTTTCTATTTCTATTGTATTCACTTTCATCGAACAAATACAAAACAATGTCTCGGTTTTTTCGTCTTCTTCACTAGATTCTCTTTTACTATATCTCTTATTTCACATTATTTAGATTTTTTTAACTTTTAAGAGCTGGCTATGTCATTGTTTCTGTCTACGGAAATAGATTCATTTCTTTATGTTCTCTTTGTGGCAATCAAAAAGAAAATTATGCACTATTTGCTTTCATAAAATCTTTTTACATTAGGGCCTCACTTCTTACTTTCCTACTGCATCCAACCTCAAACCGCCATTACTGTCACAATATGAATTCTATTCTCGAGAACTTTCTTTTCGGTCATCCCCAATGACAGCATCACTTCTCTAACATGTTCAAACCAAAAATTATTATTTCACCAATCTTTTCATACAAAATTTAAAGAGTATATACAACTTAAAAACTAATATCTACCGGTATAATTTACTAACAAATATAATAAAATTGATTATAAAATTAATATAGTCAAAATACCACAAATCCGTGCAACGCGCGGACCTTCTCCTTGTGTAATATATAATAAGGTTTTTTTGGAATAATTTCTAATATGCTGCCACATATCACCTTATAAATTGATATGTGTCACTTTTTTTTCTTTTTCATATTTCTACTAGATTCTTTTCTATCGAACAAACACAAAAACAAAGCATCGGATTTTTTTTTTCTCTATGTTACACGATTTGTTTCATCCAACAAAAGAAATGAAAATCAGATCAACCAACAAAGTACAAATCTTATATGATAGAGTACATTCATGTGTAATTTTTTTCCTATCTCTCCTAGATTTTGTTTAATCGAACAAGCACAAAAATAACTTCTGGTTTTTTCTCCCCTCTCCACATGGTTCTCAGTCATTATGTCTCATACTTCACATTCTTTTGAACATTTTTAATTTTTAAAAGCTGATTGTGGTACTACTTATGCATGAAATATAGTTTCATTCATTATTTCTGGCCAATCCAATAGAAAATCATTCATTATTTTCTTTCATGAAATCATTTTAGATTACTGGCTCACTCTTTTCTTCCATACTCTATCGAACCTCAAACCACTATTACTATCACAATCTGGATTATACTTTTCGAATTTTATTTCCAACCATCCTTGCGTGCTTTTAAAGAATGGTGACAAGTACATTTTTCTAACAGGATCAACTTCATTCAAGATAAATATTATTATTTCACCAATTTTTAATACAAAATTTTACTTCCTTTGTTTCATAATATAAGTTGTTTAAGACAAAAGCACAAAAATTAAGAAACATACCTTTTCTATTTAAAAAATATTATAATCTATTATTTATAAAATTTCATTGGCTACACAATATTCAATAAAGAAAAAAGTAATGTTAAGATATGCAAACAATTTATATTGTGAAACAAAAAAGAATTCTTAAAACAACTTATATAATAGAAAAGAAAGAATAACAAATTACATGGTATTCAATCTAAAAACTAACATTTATAGATAAACTTTTACTAATAAATATAATAAAATATATTATAAAATTAAAATAATTAAAACATCACAAATCCGCGGATCTTCCCTAGTAGTTAAAATATTGTTTGACTTTTGTAACACATAAGAAAACTCAAGTTCGATGGTCTTCACATATGGTATTTATAATAGTACTTCAGGCCTTAAAACAAAAGAAAAACGAAACATATGTTAAATAGAACAACGTTCATGTGTTTGAGTTCATGCTTTCTATCGTAATTTGATCCACTAAATTTAACATAGTCACATTTATACCAAATTATTAACTCACACAAATACACAACTAGCAGTCTAGCATAAACACGAATTTGGATGATATAAAGAAATGGTGTTGGACGATTAAAATAAATGATGGGGAAAAAAACAACTATTGACATTTGTTAAATAGATTGAAGTACATTAAAATGATTAAAATTATTAAAATTCACCTGTCCCTATGCGAGGTCCATATGGAGGGCTACAGGATTTCAGCCACCACAGTTAATTGATTCCTCCACTTCATTACTATCACAGCTACAGGTTTGCATACAACAAGCTCAATCAGATTCTTGGTTTTGTACACTACCAATTTGGATACTTTGGCGCATATGGAAGAGTAGAAATATGCTGATCTTCCAACATAAACATATCCCGTGGCCACAAACCTTACAAAATGCACGGAGTGATCATACGGAATACAGAGATATAGTGAGCCTACGAGAATCTCAAATGGCTACGAGTACTCCTACAACTATGGATGATTCTCAAAATCTACGAAACACGCATAGGCAAAGCAATAGACAACAACGTCACCCACATCATTGGCATCGTCCTACGTCTAACTGGTTAAAATGCAACTACGATGGTTCATTTACTAATGTTAATACAGATGCGCAAGCAGGATGGATAGTACGCAATGAACATGGGGATTTTAAGGGGGCAGGGCAATTACAATGGAAACAGCCTCAAGCTGCTTTTGAAAGCGAACTCCAAGCTCTTCTAATGGCGATGCAACATTGCTGGAGTCAAGGATATACAAGAGTTATTTTTGAAGGTGATTGTCATAAAGTCTACGATACGGTTAAAGGCAACTTACTAAACTTCAAATCGCATAATTGGATTCGGGACATACGCTGGTGGGCACAGAAATTTATCGAGGTCGACTTTACATGGATACCAAGAGACTCCAACAAAGCAGCTGATCTGTTATCAAAATCAAGAATTCCAAGTGGAACATCTTTCCAAAATTATAGTTCTTTACCATTAATAATAAACCATTTATTCGAAGAAGATTATGTAAACTCTTATTTATAAATGATATTTCAAGATGACAAAAAAAATAATAAATTTCTGTATTATTATATTAAAAGAATATCCGCGTCGTAGGGTGGACCAAACTCTCGTTGAATTTTGAAAGAAGAAAAAAACTGTAAAATGTAATAGAATACTATATAGTAAATATAACAGAATTGAGAAGGATATTTTGGTTTACTTCATTATCACATTATATATGTTGAATTATGAAAACCCTTTAATAATAATAAAAAAAAAAAAAATAGAATTACGTTTTGAAGACGTAGCATCTTGTTTCCGTGATCATATAGCTTGCGCTTGAAGAAATCAACCACCAGCAAGGCTTCACTGGCGCTTCTCTCCATCACGTGATTTAACTGAGGGAAAACTAGCCAACCACTAGTCACACACAAGAACCCCACCGTGAGCAGCCGTGACACAACCTGTCTCACCGGCCACCGCCCCACGGAAGTCTTCTTCTTCACCAAAACTTCAACCCCCACGCAAACTCCATGTAACACAAAGAACAACGTCACCTCTCCAGTAGGCGGTTCACGGGTTAAACAGGCAAAGGTTGCCTCGTGACCCAGACCAGAGACTATGAAAGTCGCTAACACTCCAATGAAGGAAGCCCACTCAGAATTTACAAAGCGTCTGCAGAGCGTTCTCACAGGGGAATAGACGGTTGACCAGAGACTAGCCGTGACCATGAGATTCCACCGGCGACCCCAGAAGTCTTGAAGAGATGTAGCTAAGTATGGTTTGTTGAAATGTGGGTCGAGGTCGCAACCAAGAGTGATTGTGAGCAGAAATTTTAGTAAGAATAAGACTATCTCAAGCTCTACATATTTATGCAGAGGGTAGAGACCTAATACTAGAACCGGAGGTAGATATTGTATGTAATCATACATATGTAACAGTAAAACAAAGACTGCGAATTTAATTGCAAAAGACCATTTGAAGAAATGATTTTGAGATTTATGGTCTTGTTGAAGCTTGATGGGGAAGCAAGTAAAGCAGATGAAACGAAAGACGTTACGGTTACGGTGAACTGGGAAAAGAGGGCCTTGATCAAATGAGAATTGTATGAGTTTTAAACTTGCGACGGAAAGAAAAAACAGTGTGTATGAACAGAAAATCACAGTGGACAAATACAGCGGAAGAACAAAGAACATAGCACAAACCGGAAGAACAAAGAGTAATCGAAAAACGCCAGCCTTGATTCTAGTTGATAAGAAATAACAGTAAGATACCAAGACTATTACTGATGCCCATACTTTGATGAAGTTCTTGAATTCTTTCTCCATCTCCCAGATCTTTTCTTCTTTTTTTCACGCTGTTGAATTTTTTTCAGCGAGGATTTAAACTTTTAAATTTATTTTTATTTAGGTCATAAGCAATTAAAATTATATTAAGGCATGTGGTTTTACAGGTAGTTAATGAAAGAAGATTCGCAGAACGAACCAGTTTTTGCTTTTCAATTGAGCCAAGTCCAATTTAGTCTTATAATGCTCTTATTAATTAGTTTAAGTAGCATCAATGCAGCCTATGTATTAGATGTCAGATTGCGTTTACGTAACAAAAAAAATCGTAACTCTGAAACTTTGGGAAAAAAAGAATCATAAACTTTTGCGTTTACGTAACAAAAAAAAAAAAAATCAACAGCCTCTTCTACTAAAACAGTTCAGAAATTTAAACCAATGAAGTTGAGTTTACAAAGTTTATATGAAAAAGAAGTCTCGAACACTTTGTACTAACTTGTCTGCATTTATGTTTTGAGCGCATGGAATATGCAAGATTAAGAAGTTAGTAATTTCTTTCTTATGTTTGCATATTTATTCAAGTGTAAAGTGAATGCCTGCCATTCCTTTATCATCTTCACCAATTCAAAACAGTATGTGACAAAAATTATCGCTAATTTTCTAACATCGATCATGCAGTGCATACCCCATTTCAATGCCTCCAATTCTGTATGTAAATGGGAAATATTTTGTCGTACATTTCTTGCTTCATTAACGTGTCTTCTGTGCCTAGTTTGTGGCATTACCATCCTAACCCTGCATTTGTTATCGTTTCCTTCCATGAGCCATCTGTTTCATATATCAAGCCAACATGGACCGGCGTCACTTCTCTTTGTGTATATTGGTTTTCAAGGTAATGTTCTTCATGTTGAGCCAAAGCCCATGATGTCGCATCTGCTTGTGCAATTATTATGATTTTCCTAGGATCATGTTTTATGTTTGAATAAGGTTTATCATTTCTGGCTTTTCAAATATACCAAAGTATCCATGAATACACTTACATACCCAATGTGTTTGGAAGAATCCAAAACAGATATGACATATTTGTACATAGTGCAACCAAAGAAAAACCCAATAGTAGTGTTGGGATCACTGATAGAGCCTATACCTGAAGCGTGATATATAATAGTTTTTATGGTTTTAACCATGATATAAGTCCTTTTTATTAAGTTTTTTTGGTCTTTTAGAGTCATAGTAGAGTCTTTGCAGGTTATAGCATGTCTGAAGCATAATTGGAGATATTGAAGCTTTTTGGAGTGTTGCAAGTTGAAGCCACGAAGTGTCAAGTTCAGAGAAGAAAGCATGCATTTGGGTGACGCTCGTCACCACCTATGGTGACGCTCGTCACCCACAAAGGAAGGAGCGTGGCTGTTTTATTAAAGTTTGAAGATTATTTGAAGAATTGGCCCAGAAGTTACAGTATTTGCAAGAACACCCCATATCATGTTTAGCTTGTATATATTAGGTTTTCAGCCATTGCTGGCTTTTATCTTAGATTTTTGAATTTAGAAAGCTTCAGAGAAAATTTTATTGAGAGCTTTATGGGAGACAGATCATGTACTCTTTTTGAAGAAGATTTCGAACCCCTTTGTTTTTATTCTATTCTCTTAATGCAAATTTATTCAGTTATGTTTTGTGATTCCATGATCATGTCTGAGTAATTTGTTAGTTAAGTTAGGGCTTTTCAAAGGTTGATGAAGAGTTTGTAGAATTGCTACCTGTTAGGAATATCTTTTGGTTCTTCATCTCTACTTGCTTAAAAATCGATTTCTTAGACACATCATCTAGAAATCCGAAAATCATAGGTTGTTAAATATATGTGAGAGCATTATTGATAGCCTGAACTAGTATTTGATGAGCAAAACATCTTAGTGCAAAGAGATTTGGCTTAGGAGTTTTGTGAACAATTGAACTTGATCATTACTGCATGTTTAGATTGTTAGGGGTTTGCAAAGAGATTTGAAACTCTGTGATTTAGACATAGTTAACTTCGGGAATGAGAACTGATTAGTAATATATTTGCAATTCATGTTCAAGGCGGTTTTTAATCATTCCTGATTTCATGCATTCTACATTCTCGGATTCAACCTGCAAACTGTCCTGACTTAGCGTTTTTAGTCTTCTGAAACTTAGATCAACAACCAAATTTCGTTTGCTTACTTTTATTTTGTCATTCGCATTACATACACCACTTACTGCTTAGCTTAATCTGAACCTACAATCGATAGTGTATTTTACATACTCCTTTGGGATTCGATACCCCTTGTACTACAACTGCTTTGCTGTGCACTTGCAGTAGTTTTATTTGGGTAAAACCTGAGCCCTATCAAGTTTTTGGCGCCGTTGCCGGGGAGTAATAGCTGCCTATCTATTTCTAGTATTAGGATTTTGTCTAAGTTTTAATTTGTTTACTAACTTTCTGCTACTTCTCTTTATGCTGGTTTCAGGTGTATGCCTAATCGCAGTACCATAAGCAACAAAGAGAAGGAGCTTATGACTTTTAGCATCGAAGAACTCGCTAAGTTGGAGAGGACCATCAGGAACACTAAGAAACAGTCTACAATGGTTGCTCCACTGATCTTGGTTGAAGATGCAGAATGTCACTTGGTTGACAGAGAGGGAAACAGGAGGAACGAAGAAGGGCAGAGAATTGATCAAGATGGGAATGTCATTGTTGAACAGCAGGTTCAACGAGTGGTACAAGACGCTGGAGTCCCTTCTGCTGCTAACAACGATGCTGGGTGTTTTGTTCAGAGGACTTTAGGAGACTACAACAGACCTGATCAGTTCTATGCCAACAGAGCTGCAATCCGCCCTCCTGCTTTCCAGAGAAACGATTTTGAGCTTAAGCCTGCTTATTATCAGCTGGTGGGACAGCATCCATTCCATGGCTTACCTCATGAGCATCCCATGGATCATATTGAGAGGTTTGAGGATTTGGCTTCAAGTGTCAAAGCTAATGGAGTTAGCAATGACTTTATGTTCTGCAAGCTTTTCCCTTACTCACTTGAAGGAGATGCTGCTTACTGGCTGAAGCAACTGGAGTCTCGTTCATTAACTACTTGGGAGGACACAAAAAATGCCTTTCTGAACAATTTCTATGATGATGCTAGATCAGAGGACCTGAGGACGAAATTTGCATCATTCTCTCAAGGTCCTACTGAAGCTTTTAAGGCTTTTTGGCTGAGATTCAAGTCTTATCAAAGGGACTGTCCTCATCATGGTTTCAGTCAGGTGCAACTGCTTGGGATTTTCTTCAGAGGCATTGACTGCAAGTATCAGATGGCACTTGATGCAGCTAGTGCTGGAAACTTCAACACCAACAGATGAGAAGAAGCAATCAGATTGATTGAAAACTTAGCCTGCAGCAACAGCACCAAGAATGTAGATTTTCAGAGAATGAAACAGGGTGGTTTAAATGAAGGAAACAAAATAGCTGAGGTTAAGGCTAAGTTAGACAGTATGCACAGTCTTCTGGTGGGAAAAGCACCAGTCCAGTTCGCTGCATAGGTGGAGACCTTCAAAAATCCTGAAGAGTTTGAGCAAGAGGATGTTAACTTCATCAATGGAGGTTTTCAGAACCAAAGGTTTGGGAATCAACAGTGGAACAGAGGTTATAATGTTAACAATCAGAAGAGCACCTTCCCAGGAAACCAGAATGCATCTGGTTATACATCAATGCCACAGTTCCAGAAGACTGAAGTTGAGAAACCTTACCAAAACAGCAGGAATTATGGTTCTTCTTCCTACCAAACTACACCTCCACAAGACAATAAGATGGAAGCTATGCTGGAGCAGATACTTGAAGGACATCAGAAGATGACAGTGAACTTCAATGGCAAGTTGGATTCGCTATATCAAGACCTGAATGGAAAAATTGAAAGTTTGAACTCTCGTGTGAAGAAGCTGGATGTGCAGGTTGCTCAAACTGCAGGAACTGTTCAAAGGCAATAGGGATTCCTCCCTGGAAGGACTGATATCAATCCTAAGCACCAAGTTAATGCCATCACAGTTAGGAGTGAAAAGAGCTTGAAACCGTGCAGAAAAAGAGGCTAAGTGCAGAGCAAATTGTGCAACTGATGGAGTTTGAAGATGTAAATTTTGCAGTCTCTAAGTCCAGTGACAAGCGTCACCAAGGGGGGTGTCGCTCGTCACCCACTTTACACAAACCCGACGCTCTAGGATCATCACAGGTCAGTGACGAGCGTCACCCCTTGGTGACAGTCGTCACCCACCCCGGAACGATGGTGACAGTCGTCACCCACCCCAGAACGAAGCTGCTTCGCCTGTAACTGCAAATAATGGCCAGGAGCAAGCGTATAAACCCAAGATACCATTCCCTAAGCATCATAGGAAGTCTAAACAGGAGATAGAAGAAGCCAGATGCAAAGCTATAATAGACAAGCTGA